TATATATATATATATATATATATATATATATATATATATATATATATATATATATATATGTAAATATATTCGCAGACATGTACATCGCCAACATTTTGCAGATGCATTTAGATCTTGTTTAAGCTGGGCCAGACTGCTATGCCCTGAGATGTGTCTGGAGAAACTACCAGTTGCACAGGCATATACATCACCCGCGTTTGGCAGATACGTTTATATATTGTTTTAAGCTGGGTCAGACTGGTATGGTTCAGAGATGTGGTAGAGATTCTGCCCCTTTCGTAGGCATGTACATCACCCGCGGTTCGCAGATACGTTTAGAAATCGTATTGATTGCTGATTTCATTTCCATACTTGCTCCCAAACATTCAATATCAAAAATCGTGCTCAAATGGCTACACTATGCATATCATACAGCCTCTTAAACTAGAAAAACAATGATTACATAATGACTTTATTATATTTGTTGTATATATGTGTATTTAAGTATTGAATACAGCCTCTTATACTAGCAAAACAATGATTACATAATGTCTTTAATATATCTGTTGTATATATGTGTATTTAAGTATTATATGTCAACTGGGTACGCGTTCAGTTCCGCGAAATTACTATATTGTGTCGAAATGAAGTTTGTTCGTTCTGAGAGCGGACTGTGATTAATTTCTGTGTTGGAGTACGAGGCAAGCGATCGTGGATCATGGTTTGACCTCTCACTATTCATCATTGAAACAGTACTACTATTATTGGGATCTTCGAAGAACATGCGGCTATTTCTCAAACTACCACTCCTACTCGTAAACGGGTTTCGGAACTTCGATTCCCACGTACTCTTTTCCTCCTTAGCACCCGAGTGGTACCCAGTCTCCGTGTCCGTGTTCGCGTAGTTGAGTGATGTGAAGGATATATGTGTGCAGTCGGCGAGCTTATCTTTCACATCTCTATTCGCCCCCTCCTTCTCAACGTCGACGTCGTTGTAGGTAAATGCGCTGCTGTCAAACTCGTAGGTCGGTGGGATAAACACCTTTTTCACATCCTCGGGTTTCTCTAAAGTAATTTGTGCCGAGTGGTAGCTAAATACAGCCGTGATGAACGATACCACCACCAACCAATAGGACCATCCCATATTGCAATCGCCAGAGTTATAAAAGCCAGCACTCTCACCGCAGAGATACTGTTGCTCCTTGTTGTCGGGATTCCACCACCCCACGTGGTACGTGTCTAGGTCCGCGAAACTCAAGGGGAACAGCAGGATCGCCGTAAAGAGCCCGATGATCGTGAACCACACATAAACCACGGCGACACCATACACTCGAGACTTATCTTTGACCGTGAGCGCATAACAAGTGGCGAGAACCACGAGGGATAGGAAAATCACACAACCCACCATCAAGATTACGGTATATGACCATATAGTGTTTGGGTAATGCCACATCAAGTCCTGACCCCAAGAGATAGTCTCACTCTTGAACGGAGTTATTGTATGGAAATCGTATGATATGAAGAAGATACCATACGCAAGGTTCACGTAACCGTCGTACTCCTCAGAAACAACCTCGATGTCTTTGCGTACCACGGTCTGGTTGAAGTCCTCGATTGTGATGTATCCATTTCTATAGTCCCTGTCTGACACCGCCATCACATCCCCATAATGATTGTCTGTTTATAGGAACAGAAAAACATCAATATATTAGTGACAATACAGTGATTGTGGTAGTTACAGGACTTTGTTTGCGAGCAGGCGAAGCGTAATCTCGCGATACCAGAGCACCGTATATATCTATCATGAAAAAATACTGTGATAGCTTAAAATATCATCAGCAATCACTTACCAAATCCGTCGTAGTATGAGACATTCAGATACTCGACGTATGTCGTCATCCTGGTAGCTGACTGATTCGCAATCGTCCCATTAACCCCGAGCGTGATGTTCACCAGATAGTTTGTGATGACTGTGTTATTCACGTAATAAGCACTGAACTTGTACTGATTCAAATCAATCCTCAATGCCAAATCTTTCAGCGGATCCATATTGTAAATTTTTGTAACGGTCTGAACCGTTTCTACAGCATACCCGGTGGTATTAACTATCACCAACTCCGCGTGATTGGCATCAGCTAAAACTTTATCTCCCTCTTGTTCTCGGAAATCCTGATTAGTTGAGATGGTATGCAAGTGGGATGCACTATTAATTCTACGCTTGCAACTGCAAAAACCAACAAAACAATGCAAGGCGACATTAAGTGCAAACAAGCCCGAGAAAACGAGAAAAAAAATTACAATTTACAGCATAGCAAACTCACCTCTTTACTCAACTGCGTCAGATACGGTCCGGTGAATGCAGTCACAGTCTGGTTCATTACGATGGTACTATTTGATCGGTTGTATACTTCCACGGAGTTGGTAAGCCAACTAGACGTGAATGTTCCGGTGAACATGCACACGACCGTAATCACGAAAAGGGTCCCGCTGAGAAATTTCATCCACTTCCTGTTGACGTTCTGAACACCAGCCGTCAACATGTGCTCAGTATAGAACAGATAGAAGATGAAAGAGAGGATCTGCTGCATGAGAGAAATGCCCACCATGACCATCGACATCATCATTAGTGCCTGAGAGTTGTTGTAAGCCATAAAAAGACCGCACACTGTAAAATTCAGGCTCATAACTATGAGTAGTACTGCCAATCCAATCCTTTTGTGAAGTATCTCGGTTTTGTTTGCTTCCTTGCCTTCCGCAGAACCGCTTGAAGGTCGATTTCCCCAAGAAAGATCCCACACGCGGCAATAAGAATAAGCCGAGAACCATGGTATAAATGTTGGCAGGAAAATGAAGAACTGAAAGAATGAAAACAGCATCATGATGAATACATCCAGACTGTGTAGCAGAGCCAAGAAGAAGGGCATGAATACGGCCAGAAGAAGAATCAGGATGGCTATGGGATCCGCGTTGGCGAACGTCACGGCCACACTGGCAACGATTACCATAAATGACAGAGTGTTCCAAGTCACCACTGCATTATACAAGCTCCTCGAAAACTTCGTGAGAAAATGCGTCGCACAGAATATCAAATACATGAAGGCACTGAAACCGTTGATTGCCCAGGCCACGTACTGATTGTACTCGCTACCGCCGATGTTCAAAGATTTGACGGCGAAGTATATTAGAGTCGCAAAGATAGCAGGCGAAACAGCTGTGACCGTGTACAGTATCGTTTGCAGCAGAAGTTGACTGTATATGATAATCTTAAATGACCACGAGTGTGGTCCACGGAAAATCACTCCAGGTGAAAAGAACAGTAAAAACAGGTACGATGCGAACGTTCCATTAATCCATCGTCGACGTTGTGTGAGAAACGCTTTGCTGTCAGTCTCTGCTTCGGTGTAGAAAACCGCTTTGGGTACCCATCTTGTAAACTTCCCGGTCATAAGACAGGCAGCGTAACTAAGAATACGATCTTCGGCGAGTAGCAGGTTTCCCATAATTAAGCCATCCTCCGGTTTGATACTGTTGATATAGTCGACGTAGTAGTCCATCGGCTTGCCTCCCACTACACTCATTCGCCACAAACCTGCAGGACCGGGTAACACAGGAAGCATCCCAATCAGAGAGAACGCTCCTAAGAAACTGGAAATGGAGGCTTCATAATCGTATGATTGCACAGCTCTGTACCACATCTGCATTAACCCCTCCGTCCTTAGAGACTGCATTGATGAAGACATGACACGCTGACGCCCGGTAACAGCGCTAACGTCTGGATGATTGTCGAGGTAGTCGATGAGGTAATATAGGCAACCCTGCGAAAATGGAAACGAAAACAGCTCAGTTATTTAGATATAGTAAAACGGTTTTCAGCAAGTGTGAAGCTTGCAGTGCTTCGAGGATAGCTATTACTATGTACAGCTAAAGCGATAGCTAGAACTAGTAAAGTAATTCCGGAAAATTCGGACCAAGAGTACCTCAAGGATAGCGACTCCACAAGGAAAATACGGTCAGTATCAGGCATATAGTGCCAGGAACGTAGCTACCACTTAATCACCAAAAATATGTGGATTTATGCCTTCAGAGTGAATAAAATGAATGGTAGGGCATACCTGTGCGTAGAGCGTTCCACAATCTGTCGCGAACCCGTAGTCGATCTCATACTCTGGACAGTAAGCCACAAAAAACCATTCGTGTGAGTTCGTTTTCCGCTTATTCATTCCCTTCACTAAAGTTGTCAACCGCAGATGTTTTCCAGGAGCTATTTCCACCAGACCATGATCTCCCGATTCATCCGTTGGTGAGGCTTGTAGTATAGATACGTAAGATTTGTCTTCGCAACTTAGCATCGTATCGGCCCATTCTGAATCGTCATATATCTCTTTCAAGTAATCTATCATTGATTCATCCGCCTTGGTGATACCGTCCATGATTGCAAGATACACGAACTCGACACCTAAATCACCACACTCAATCTCTTGATCATATAATGACTCCAGTGTACGTTCCAATTCTTGTCTACCCTCATTATAGAAAGGAATCACAACACCTACAACAGTCTTGGCTTTCCTTTCACGTGGCTTGAAGTATGTTTGGCCCTTTAAGGGCGTGAGAACGGGATGATTAGTTACCAAGTCTCTTTCTACATCTCGCGGTGCGTATGATTGTGTATCTCTGACGCTATACATATCGTTCGCATACTCTATAACATTGTCCTCCATATCATCTGTGACGAAGACCATCGAATGGTCATCATATTGACCAATTCCCCTTAGATCGTACTCCTCAGCAGAATTAGTACGCATTTTAATAACATTACCTTCGGTCACAAGAGACAGAGTTATAACCGACCTTTAAGCGATCGCCTTGACTTTATGTAAATTCCATTTTATGCGTTTATTTTTTTATAAATACTGGTGTTTTTTCTCCTAAAACCAACAAAATGGTACTATGTATAATATAAAATACAGCTGTTGTCAGGCAGGTACAAATAGGGAGAAAGTTGCATAATAAAATATGAGCTATGACTCATAGTGGCATAACTCTAAAATAGGAAGTGTGACTCATTCATTACTCATACTTCATATAAATTTATAGCCGGACTCTTTGGTACATACCGCAAGATTCCTGATGCATTTTAAATCTACTTTGCCTTTATGGCCCTGGTTTTTTTTCTACCCTACAGATAATATCTTCTTTTTGTTTTGAAAACCCCATTTTTCACGGTCTGTGACTCTGTGTGCTGAGGCCAAGGGCCCTGACTCAGCCCTGAGGGTTATTAATAGTGCCTTAGAGGTGCAAAGAAACCATTGACCAGAGGGCAGAGGGCAGAGGGCCAATGCTTCTTTTTCTATGTAGAGTAGACAATATTATATCTTTAAAAAAAAATATCATAGCCTCCTAAAAAGAACAAAAAAAATATAAATTGAAGTTCTTCTTGTGTCAGTGTGTCGTCGAGAGCCGTCTGCTGAGGCGAGACGTCGACTCGTCAGTCGTCCCACTCGATCGCGAATTCGAGTGCGAATTGAACCTCCAGGGAGGACTCCAGGACGCCAGGGAAGTTGAGTGTCTTGAAACTGACTTTATTGTACTTGTGACAAGAGAAGACTTGAGAGCTTTCAGTTTTTTCATAGCCTTCTAAATTATATATACAGTTTTTTTGTTTTGTTTTGTTTTAAAAACAAATCGGTTTTGGGGGAATTTGTTTTAAACGAATTTTCAAATTTGAAACTTTGGAGGTTTCACGGGCAGGGTGGGTGCGAAGTACGGACTCTTGCAAAGTGCGAACTGTGATACAGTTTTCCATTGATAAATTTTAGATCTGAAGAATTTAATGTTTCAGAGCCTGACCAGCCCGCACCGCCCCACTGCCCACAGTTCCACAAAAATGTATGTTTTATCATAAAGGCAAAAACAAAAGAAAACAACTTCAAGTCATAGCATAGCGGCCATAGCCCTCTATCATTTATGTAATATTTAGACTCATCAGAGGTATGAGGCTGTCTATGACCTACATTTGTGTTTTAAAAACAAAAACTTAATATCATAAAAAAAGAACTCAAAAACTGTGGCAAACTGAAAAAATATTTGAATGAAGGTAGATGTTAAAAAATGAAAATACTCAAAACTGTGGCAAATCGTAAACTCTTCGAATACTAGAGCTAATTATACTAGCGTGCTCTATATAATTTTTGGAAGCATATTTGGGGGTCAAAATATATATCAGCTTCAAACACTTTTCATTGGCCTAAGCTGAGGGCCATTATCAGTTAATCAAATAGTTATCGCGAATTCGCCAGTAAATTTTTAACTGATTATTTTTTTATAAATTATAATTCACGTCTTTTTCATCTTTTCTTGTTTTGAGTATGGAGCACTTTACTCAAAACAATGATATGAATACATAAACCATTTATCCTTTTCGTTCTTATCTATTCCATTGGATTAGTACATCGATACGAAGAGGTTCTCCCAATCAGAAAGAATTAAAGAACTCATAGGATGATAGGAGCAATTTATCAATTTTTATAATCGTATGCAATAGAAACAATAATAGAATTTTTTTAAATACATATCAAGAACCTCATAGCCTTCTAATCAGACATTAGAAGGCTATGAGAACCATTTTTAACAAAAATAGAAGACTATGAATTCAACTGTCTCCTGATAAAATCTTCACAAAAAAAAAGGTTGATTTTCTTTATAAAAAAACAAAAGAAAAACAAAGTAAAAAGTTGTTGTAAATATATAAAAACGAGAATATTTTTATACTCCCAATTCTCAAACCAATAACCTTCTACAATTGTATCTTTTTTAAACAAAACCAAGAGAAGGCTATGCTCAAAGTCTCAAACTGTGCTTTTTATGCAAGTTTTAAATTATATAAAAAACATCCAGTATGTTATACGTACTGTACATTGTTTGTTTTTCTGGGGTTTTTGGGGGGTTTGTTTTAAAACAAATTAAAAAAACATCAAAAAGTAAAAACAAACAAAAACACGACGTTAATGAATCATGATATTTACAGCTGCCCGTGTGAGCTGAAGATCAGAGGACGAGCACCTGAGTCGGGCACTCTTATCTTTCTTCTTGTGTTCGTTTTTTGTTATATTGTCCATGATGAAAAATGGGCCCGTAAACACACAAAGCACACCCTGACCCACGTCCAACGTATCCATGACTAAGATGACATGCAGTGGACCACTGTACACCGTATAAGAAGGCAGTCGTGTGTCCTCCAATTCGCTCTTCTGACAAATAGAGGATGTCGCCAGGTTCAGCTCTGGTGCTTATCAGTGCGTTTCAGTATGTTTCTCTATTCAAATTTACCGACTATTGGTGTACCACGATCCAAATCATATCTTCACGACACAATCGCGTAAGCTTAGAGTGCGAGTTCAAGCACCTTCAGGCTTAAATTACAACTGGTTTGTTCAAACTGCGTAGTTTCTATAGAAAACGGCAGTTCGGGATCGCAAGCTTGGTAGGCAAAATAAAGGTAAGTTGTGCAGACGTTTGTGTATTTACGTTTTGCGAGCCGAGCTAAAATATTTCGGCCTAGAATGCCGACGTGTTCTTAATTTTTTTTCTAGTCGAAGCTGTTGTACATCTTTTCGATACATCCAGGTAGCAGTTTTATAACTTTTACGCCGCTCGTGACGAGTACAATTGTACTGATATATATATATATATATATATATATATTATATATGTATATATGTATATATATATATATATTATAAATATATATATATATATATATATATATATGTATGTATGTGTGTATATATGTATACATATATATACATATATATATATATATATATAATTATATATATACATATAAACATATATATATATATATAATGTACGTTTATTCATTCATCTTTATATATGTATATATTATATACATATATATATATATATATATGTATGTATATATATATATATATATAGGTATTTATGTTTATATATAGCTGTATGAATCAACGTACACTATATATATATATATACATATAAATATATATATTTAAGTATGTATGTATGTATATTTATATATATATATATATATACATATATATATATATGTGTATATATATATATATGTATATATAAATATATGGATATGTATATATATATGTGTGTGTGTGTGTGTGTTTAAGATGTATGTATACAT